ATCTACAGGGGTAGTCCTTACAGGGAGTAGATCTATAGAGGTAATCTCTACAGTAAGTAGATCTACACGGGAGATCTCTACAAGGAGTAGATCTACAAGGTTAATCTCTACAGAGGGTAGATAATCTCTACAGGGAGTAGATCTATGGGGTAATCTATACAGAGAGTTGATCTACAGGATCAATCTCTACAGGCAGTAGATCTTCAGGATTAATCTTTATGAGGTAGATCTATAGGGTTAATCTCTATGGAGGTCAATCTCCAGGGGTAAACTATAAAGGAGGTAGATCTCCAGGGTAAACTCTACAGGAGGTAGATCTCCAGGGTAAACTCTACAGGAGGTAGATCTCCAGGGTAAACTCTACAGGGGTGGATCTGTAGGGGTAATCCCTATAGTGGTAGATCCAGCTTTAATCACTACAGGGGGAAATAGCTCTAAAGGGGGTACGTCTCTATTGGAGTAGATCTCCAGTGGTAATCTTTTTTTGGGGGGGAAACGTCTCTAAGGTTAAATTCTACATGAGGCTAGATCTCTATAGAGGGGCAGAACTAGGGGAGCGTGTTGTGGGGTAGATGTGGGACAGATAGCCGCTGTATGGGTTTGGACCTGAAGCTCCTCTCGGTGGTGTTTCTGCTTTAAAACACTGATGAATAATTACTGACATCTGGAGTGGTGGAGGCCTGCTGACGCGCCGGGTGAAGGAGCTGGAGGGAGAGATGTTTTCTGTATCTCCTGAGCTTTAAACCCTCCTCCTTCTGTTTTACACACACACTCACTCACTCTCTCACCCCCCCTCCGCCTTCCTCGGCGAGTTCTTCATCCGCACTGCATGACTGGAGGAGCGCGTGCTCACATCACCGTCCTGCAGCTCAGTACGTCGTACAGTTCGTGGCGAGTTTTCCGTGTTTGATGTACACAGTCTCGCGCAGTGGAAGGAGGTCGTTCCTTGCGTGATGTGCGCGTGATGCGCCGGTTAGTTCGGCCCGCGCGGACTCTCCGGTTCAGCAGCGCGTGTGAAGGATCTCTTCGCGCTCTTACATAACCACGCGCGCCCACCGGAGCTGCTCATGGCGCGCGGAGAGCAGAGCGCGCGCTCCAGCCCGGAGCCCCGCATGCAGCGGCAGCCCTGAAACACCCAGAGCCGCCCGAGCCTGAACCTCCACACACACACACCCACCCGCACACACACACACACCATACACACACTCAGTCTGTACACACTCCGGCATGGCTGCCGCCATCGCGAGCTCGCTGATCCGGCAGAAGAGGCAGGCACGCGAGTCCAACAGCGAGCGAGTGGCCGCGTCCAAACGGCGCTCGAGCCCCAGCAAGGAGGCACGCTCGCTGTGTGCGAGACACTTCCTGGGTGTTTTCAGCAAGGTCCGCTTCTGCAGTGGCAAAAAGAGACCCGTGCGCCGGAAACCAGGTCAGAGTGTGTGTGTGTGTGTATGTGTGTGTGTGTGTGTGTGTGTGTGTGTGAGAGGGGGAGAGAGAAAGTCTGCGTGCGCTCCAAATAAACGCGCTCCCGTTATATAAGCGTGCGCTGTAGATGTGAGCTATGGGTAAAAAAGCAGTTCTCAGTGTTAACATGAGCGCTCGTGTACTGTGTATACGCTGTGATGCAGCAGGTCGGCTCACACGCACTGACAGTTGGAGGTTTACAGCCAACTTTCAGTGGAATGAGTAATGTCCAGTTACACTGTAGGTCTGCAAGTATCTTTACACTGCTTAACTCTACACTGCATTTTAATGAAGCGTGTAACTTTACACTGCAGTGTTGCATTACATCTTGTTCAACTTTACATAGCATTTTAACAGTACAGCTTTACACTGCGTGTCTTCACAGTGTAGCTTTACACTGTGTGTCTCTGCAGTGTAGCTTTACACTGCGCGTCTTTACAGTGTAGCTTTACACTGTGCGTCTTTACAGTGTGACTTTACACTGAGCTTCTTTACAACACAGCTTTACACAGTGCGCCTTCACAATGCAGTTTTACAGTGTGCATTTTACAATGCAGCTTTACACGGTGCACCCGTACAGTGCATCCTTACAAAGCATCTTTACAGCACAGCTTTTCACTGTACGTCTTTACAGAGTATTTTTACACATATCTACAGTGTATCTATAATGTAAAGTATCTTTACACTGTGTAACACTACACTGCATCTTTATGAAGCATGTAACATTACACTGTAGTGTTGCAATACATCTTGTACAGCTTTACATTGCATCTTTACAGTGCAGCTTTACACTGAGCTTCTTTACAGTGCAGCTTTACACTGGGTGCCTTTACACAACCTCTTTACATGGTGTGTACATGCTGCCTTTACAAAACATTCCAATTTAAATGTCTCTTTACACTGCAGTTTTATGCCACAGCTTTACATTGAAACACTGCACTGCGTCGTGACAGTGTATACGTTTACACTGCCGCTTAAGTCTGTGAATCATTATAACGAATCTTTACACTGGGGATCTTTACAAAATACCTTTTTTAAACTTTTACTGGTATTCCAGCCTGTTTTCATGGTTTGAGCTACTGAGTGCATAGTTTGCTAAGAGCACTTAGCGCTTAATTAAGCCTGTGACTGCTTTGATCATTTAACTTTGAGGGCATACTGTTCTGTGGTTAGTCATTTAAAACCATGCAGTGTAGCCTGTTTAACTGTTCAGTGGACATCATCTGGACCAAATTGATTTTATCCCCCTCTTTTATAATAAAAGAGTTTAATGTAGAATGTAAACATTGTAAAGTTTTAAAACGCACCCCTCACTGCCCAGTACATACAGTTAATATATGGTATCTCAACTGCAAACACAGCCGGCGTTGAATTGTTGTGATGTTATTTACGATTGTCCACCTATTCAGACTACAGCAGTTTAGCCCCGCCCGTTATAATGAGGTCATAATGGGTGTCGTCTCAGCCTCTGACGCTCCACCCACATGTAAATAGAGCATCTGATATCTGTTGCATGTTAAGCTGGTCACAACTATGGAGATTTTGTCAGTTCCATTCTGATTGGCTACCTGCACGTCTGTGTGAACACTGAGGGTTTTATGTTGTAGCCCTGTTTTAAAAAGCACCTGCCTTACGTATTACACTAAAACAGTGCTCTGAGGTTGGTTGTGGTCAGCTTAGCAGCCCCTTCCTGTCAAAGTAGGAGGTTCTTGACCACATTAAGGAACAGAACACACCAGATTCTTCAAGAGCTCATGAGATTATACGCAGTGATTCAGCCCAGCATGCTTTTTGCATGAGGCACAATACGGGGGTGCCAATCAGCACTGAGCTCATTTACATATATCAACAACAAAAAACAGCCTGTTTAATTCTAAGGGATGAAGAGCCGTTGGAAAATGGTCATGAAACTTTACACTGCAGCTTTAAGGTGCAGAATTATGCTATTTAGCTTTACACTGCTCAACTTTACACTGCAGCGTTGCGGTATAGATTTACGGTATTTAGGTTTGTGCTGCTCAACAGCTTTGCTGTACAAAGTAGTGCCATTTAGGATTACACTATAGGACTTTACACTGCGTCATTGTGGTAAAGATTATGCTATTTAGGTTTACGCTGCTCTACATTACACTGCAGCTTCACTGTACAGATTTATTTGCTATTTAGGTTTAGCTGTGAGCTTTTACACTGCACCTGTGTGATGGACATGTATGGTGTTTAGCTTCACACTGCACAGCTTTACAGTGCAGCTTTGCTGTACAGATTTATGCCATATAGATTTACACTGCAGCTTCATTGTACAGATTTATGCTATTTAGGTTTGCGCTTCTCAACTTATGCACAGCTATGCAGTGGAGATTTATGGCGTTTACTTCACAATACGCAACTTTACACTGCATCGTTGTGGTACAGAAATATGCTTTTTTTGTTTTATGCAGCTCCATATTACACTGCACCTGTGTGGTACAGATTTATGCTATTTAGCTTTAGCTGTGCATCTCTAGATTGCAGCTTTGCTGTACAGATTTATGGTGTTTAGCTTCACACTACGCATCTTTACACTGTATCTTCACTGTACAGATTTATGCCATTTACGTTTACGCTGCTGAACTTTACACTGCAGCTTTGCTGTACAGATTTATGCCAATTTGGTTTATGCTGCTCAACTTTACACTGCAGCTCTGCTGTTCAGATTCCTGTCATGTAAATTTACACTGCTCAACTTTACACAATGAAGCTTCGCTGTACAGATTTATGCCAATTTGGTTTATGCTGCTCAACTTCACAGTGCAGCTTTGCTGTGCAGATTCATGGAGTTTAGCTTCACCCTGCGCAACTTTACACTGTATCTTCACTGTACAGATTTATGCCATTTACGTTTTACGCTGCTCAACTTTACACTGCAGCTTTGCTGTATAGATTTATGCCAATTTGGTTTATGCTGCTCAACTTTACACTGCAGCTCTGCTGTTCAGATTCCTGTCATGTAAATTTACACTGCTCAACTTTACACTGCAGCTTCGCTGTACAGATTTATGCCATTTAGGTTTACACTGCTCAACTTTACACTGCAGCTTTGCGGTTCAGATTCCTGTCATGTAAATTTACACTGCTCAACTTTACACAATGAAGCTTCGCTGTACAGATTTATGCCAATTTGGTTTATGCTGCTCAACTTCACAGTGCAGCTTTGCTGTGCAGATTCATGGAGTTTAGCTTCACCCTGCGCAACTTTACACTGTATCTTCACTGTACAGATTTATGCCATTTACGTTTTACGCTGCTCAACTTTACACTGCAGCTTTGCTGTATAGATTTATGCCAATTTGGTTTATGCTGCTCAACTTTACACTGCAGCTTCGCTGTACCAATTCCTGTCATGTAAATTTACACTGCTCAACTTTACACTGCAGCTTTGCTGTACAGATTCCTGTCATGTAAATTTACACTGCTGAAGTTTCTGCTGTTTAGCGTCATGCCATGCGTTTATACCCTGAGGATACACGACAGTAAAGCGTTCGTGTGTTTGTGTGTTGCAGAGCCGCAGCTGAAGGGGATAGTAACGAGGCTGTTCAGTGAACAGGGGTTCTACCTGCAGATGGAGCCAGATGGAACCATCAATGGGACCAAGGATGAGAACAGCGACTACAGTGAGTCCACACGTACACAACAAACCATCTCTGTCTCTTTTTTGTGTTCTGTTTGGCCTTTTGTAGAGGAAAAGAAGCATTTTAGTGTCATATTTAAAATGAAAAGTACATTTTTAATGTTAAAATTTGTAACCATACTTTAATACATACAAAGTTTTATTTTGGACAGCTTAAGTGTATGCAAATTGTAATTAACATATGATAAAATAAATGTTAAGCACAGTTAAAGTTACATTTAAGTAGATTTAAGTATGGAACTTGGAATACATGATGAATGTCCTGCTGGATGTATGGATACACTTTAGTGCTACTTATTGAGTTATACTGCAATTAAAACACACTTAAATACATTTGCATGTTTTTTTTTTAATGTACATACGTTCAACACATAAATATTTATTTAAGTGTGGCAGAATTAAGATGTTAATAAATACACACTTAAATATGCAGGATACACACTTATATATGCTTTTGGATATATACTAAAACCAACATATATACTAAAAGCTTATATTTAATTCATGTTGGAATATATTTTCTATGTCTAGTAAGTGCTTTTCTGTTTAAACTGGAGCAACTTACATTGCAATGAAGTTAACTTAAGCAATTTTTGACACACTTGCAACATACTTGTAAACTCCTGGGTGTACTGGTTCCCTTATATGACTGCTAGTTAGTTCTAATGCAACTAAAATATTTTAAAGCATACTTTAAAATCAGTGCTTTCCTAAATAATACACTTAGGTTGACAATTAAGTACACTTTTGTTTATATATTTCAAGTATACTATTCATGTACTTAAAGGGGAATTCCACCTATGTTTCAAAAATCCCCTATAATTCAGTGTGTGAGATGTAAACAGAGTGACTCAGAGTGGTTTGGTGTGAAATGGTTCAGATGTCTTTACAGTGGTGGTGATGGGACCCAGGGGTCGCCATGACTACAACACAAATACAGACATTTTATTTACTATCCAGAACCACCAGTGAACCTACACGAGTCTTCTGAGTTTATATGGAGTGTTGATGATGAAAATAGTGGAAAATCTGAAATAATAAGTTTTCTTTGGGGACTATTTTGCCTCACAGCGCCCTGCATGTATCCCTCCACCATGAATGGAGTTTAAGTTCTCTAAACTATCATAAAACAGTGTGTCAGTCATCAGGCAGTGAATTCATAACCATTTCATGTAGTAACTTTCTGTGAGGGAGCTTTTAGAGGTGGACGTCTGGTTCCTATCACCACCACTGTGAACAGTTCTGACTCGGTAAGTTTATCTAGAACAGAGCGTTTCACACCAAACCACTCTGAATGACTCTGTTGATGTGTTAACCCTTTAATCAGGCAGAAAATTTTAGAAATTTAGAAAAATTGGTGGAGTTCCCCTTTAAGTATGCCTCTTTTTTTGCAATGTTCTTTGCCAAGCATCTTATGAACAGAGTTGTTGTCATCATCATCATCACCATCATCTTCATCATCATTTCTCTCCGGCTTTCTTTCTGCTCTCTGGAAAAGCATTGAGGGTGTGTGTGTGTGTGTGTGTGTGTGTGTGTGTGTGTGTGTGTGAGTGTGTGTGTGTGTGTGCTTATATTCCCTTTGTGTCCTCTAAGTGAAGGAATCTGATCTGAGCTCAAATCCAAAATGGAAACTGACAGTATTACCGGAGCGCTGGAACAGGGACAGGGGAAATGCAAGCGGATCCGCCCTCCGCAGGTGTTCATTCTCAGATCCGGACTGACCCTCAGACTGACCCTGACCATGACCCTGACTCCACTGGTCCAGGATTTTCCTCGATAGCAATGATGCACAATCAGAATCTGAAAGATTTTGAATCTGAAAAGATTTTGGTCATAAACTCGCAATCAATCTGATGGTCCTAACACTAAGACATCACCAGCACACTAAAGTATGGGATATACACTGACCAGACACCTCATTAAGTCCACCTCCTTGTTTCTACACTCACTGTCCACTTTATCAGCTCCACTGACCGCATAGTTTCACTCTGTAGTTCTACAGTTTCATTGTTGGCTCGATGTTTTTGGTTCTCAGTCCAGCAGCGAGACTGAGGTGTGTAAAAACTCCAGCAGCACTGCTGTGTCTGATCCACTCACACCAGCACAACACACACTAACACACCACCACCACATCAGTGTTACTGCAGTACTGAGAATGATCCACCACCCAAACAGTACCTGCTCTGTGAGGGTCCACGGGGGTCCTGACCACTGAAGAACAGGGTAACAAAGTATGCAGAGAAACAGATGGACTACAGTCTGTAACTGTAGAACTACAGAGTGAAACTATGCGGTCAGTGGAGCTGATAAAGTGGACAAAGAATATAGAAACAAGGAGGTGGACTTAATGAATAAATGCTTTAATTTACCTCAATAAAAGCTCCTTAATCAACAAACCCCTCAAACTTCCTCTTTGAGGTATTTAATGATCAGCTAACGAGCAGCACAGCAGAGCAGCAGTTGAACGCGTCTCACTGGCTGATCTAACGCCGCGTCCCAAACCGCACACTTCTGTACTTCACCTACTGCACTAATGAGTGCAGTAGAACAGCCGAAAACTCAATTACAAACATATGTTCACTATTGAGCTCCTTCTGGTGTGGGTTTCCTCTCTTTCAGCGATGAACAAAAGCAACCTGAATGCTGATAGCACCCCCTTGTGGAGAATCAGCTAAAATAATGACCTGCGGATACTCTGTTTATTATCCGAATTGCAAACTGATCACTAAGTGAAGGTAAATTAAAATATAAATTCAGTCGATCGACTAATCCTGACATCTCGAAATTTAATAATCATTAGGCGATAATGCGGCGTTGCATTAAAACCAGTGATCTGTCCCATCCTTTGCTCGCACACAGTCACGTGTATAGACACACACAAGATTCTGAGCTCCGGAGGAACCTGACGGATGTCTAACTCAGGATTTCTGCAGCTCTTTAGCTCCTTCTACCTCTGTTTCCCTCTCTCTCTCCCTCCCCTTCTTTCTTTCCCCCTGAGTGGGATCTGAATGTGCCCACTCATGTTAGCGTATGTAGATTCTCCAGCCTGTGTGAGCGTGTTGGATTACGTTACTTTTCTCCCTCATGTCTCTGCTCTTATCTGCGAGGCTCACATTATCACAGCCAGCAGGCTTAGCCCCGCCGCTTTATGCTGCTGCCTCTGCTAAGCTGGAGCTGGAGGAGGGCTACAGCATTACAGCGCTTTGTTTCGCCTTTTACAGCTAATCTGCGCTACAGCGGGGAGCGCGGCCAAAAAAGCCTCTCTCTGCCGAAGAGAGAGAGAGAGGGAGCGCTCAGAGTTTCAGCCTCGGGGCTTTCTCGTGTAACACTTGATTGTTTTTATCTGACAGCAGTTGAGTAAACTTATTTCGTCTAAAGTGAGAAATATCGATTCGGCAGGACACCTGAAACACGACGCTGCTCGTTTCTGGGCGGCTTCCAGCAAAATAAAGCTCCACCGCAGACGAGAGTCGCAGAACGACACAGCTTCACAGAAAAGTACAAAGCTACAGATTCACAGAGTTACAAAATAACGAAGTTACAGCATAAAAGAGTTATAGATCTACAGGGCTAGAGCTACAGTAAAGAGCTTAAGTTACAGAGCTACAGAATTACAGAACTACAGAGTTACAGAACTGCAGTTAAAGAGCTACAGAGTTACAGAACTGTGGTTACAGAGTTACAGAATTACAGTTAGTTACAGAGCTACAGAGTTACAGAGCTACAGAGTTACAGAACTGCAGTTACAGAGCTACAGAGTTACAGAACTGCAGTTACAGAGCTACAGAATTACAGTTAGTTACAGAGTTACAGAACTGCAGTTACAGAGCTACAGAGTTACAGAACTGCAGTTACAGAGCTACAGAGTTACAGAACTGCAGTTACAGAGCTACAGAATTACAGTTGGTTACAGAGCTACAGAGTTACAGAGCTACAGAGTTACAGAACTGCAGTTACAGAGCTACAGAGTTACAGAACTGCAGTTACAGAGCTACAGAGTTACAGAACTGTGGTTACAGAGCTACAGAATTACAGTTAGTTACAGAGCTACAGAGTTACAGAACTGCAGTTACAGAGCTACAGAGTTACAGAACTGCAGTTACAGAGCTACAGAGTTACAGAACTGTGGTTACAGAGCTACAGAATTACAGTTAGTTACAGAGCTACAGAGTTACAGAACTGCAGTTACAGAGCTACAGAGTTACAGAACTGCAGTTACAGAGTTACAGAATTACAGTTGGTTACAGAACTACAGAGTTACAGAACTGCAGTTACAGAGCTACAGAGTTACAGAACTGCAGTTACAGAGCTACAGAATAACAGTTAGTTACAGAGCTACAGAGTTACAGAACTGCAGTTACAGAGCTACAGAGTTACAGAACTGTAGTTACAGAGCTACAGAGTTACAGTTAGTTACAGAGCTACAGAGTTACAGAACTGCAGTTACAGAGCTACAGAGTTACAGAACTGCAGTTACAGAGTTACAGAATTACAGTTGGTTACAGAACTACAGAGTTACAGAACTGCAGTTACAGAGCTACAGAGTTACAGAACTGTGGTTACAGAGCTACAGAATTACAGTTAGTTACAGAGCTACAGAGTTACAGAACTGCAGTTACAGAGCTACAGAGTTACAGAACTGCAGTTACAGAGCTACAGAGTTACAGAACTGCAGCTACAGAGCTACAGAGTTACAGAACTGTGGTTACAGAGCTACAGAATTACAGTTAGTTACAGAGCTACAGAGTTACAGAACTGCAGTTACAGAGCTACAGAGTTACAGAACTGCAGTTACAGAGTTACAGAACTACAGAGTTACAGAACTGCAGTTACAGAGCTACAGAGTTACAGAACTGCAGTTACAGAGCTACAGAATAACAGTTAGTTACAGAGCTACAGAGTTACAGAACTGCAGTTACAGAGCTACAGAGTTACAGAACTGTAGTTACAGAGCTACAGAGTTACAGTTAGTTACAGAGCTACAGAGTTACAGAACTGCAGTTACAGAGCTACAGAGTTACAGAACTGCAGTTACAGAGTTACAGAATTACAGTTGGTTACAGAACTACAGAGTTACAGAACTGCAGTTACAGAGCTACAGAGTTACAGAGCTACAGAATTACAGTTAGTTACAGAGCTACAGAGTTACAGAACTGCAGTTACAGAGCTACAGAGTTACAGAACTGTAGTTACAGAGCTACAGAGTTACAGAACTGCAGTTACAGAGCTACAGAATTACAGTTAGTTACAGAGCTACAGTTACAGAACTGCAGTTATAGAGCTACAGAGTTACAGAACTGCAGTTACAGAGCTACAGAGTTACAGAACTGTGGTTACAGAGCTACAGAATTACAGTTAGTTACAGAGCTACAGAGTTACAGAACTGCAGTTACAGAGCTACAGAGTTACAGAACTGCAGTTACAGAGCTACAGAGTTACAGAACTGCAGCTACAGAGCTACAGAGTTACAGAACTGTGGTTACAGAGCTACAGAATTACAGTTAGTTACAGAGCTACAGAGTTACAGAACTGCAGTTACAGAGCTACAGAGTTACAGAACTGCAGTTACAGAGTTACAGAATTACAGTTGGTTACAGAACTACAGAGTTACAGAACTGCAGTTACAGAGCTACAGAGTTACAGAACTGCAGTTACAGAGCTACAGAGTTACAGAACTGCAGTTACAGAGCTACAGAATAACAGTTAGTTACAGAGCTACAGAGTTACAGAACTGTAGTTACAGAGCTACAGAGTTACAGAACTGCAGTTACAGAGCTACAGAATTATAATTAGTTACAGAGCTACAGTTACAGAACTGCAGTTACAGAGCTACAGAGTTACAGAACTGCAGTTACAGAGCTACAGAGTTACAGAACTGTGGTTACAGAGCTACAGAATTACAGTTAGTTACAGAGCTACAGAGTTACAGTTAGTTACAGAGCTACAGAGTTACAGAACTAATTACAGAGCTACAGAGTTACAGTTAGTTACATTTACAGAGTTACAGAGCTATAGAGTTACAGAGCTTCAGAGATACAGAGCCACAGAGTTACAGAGCTACAGAGTTACAGTTACAGAGCTACAGAGTTACAATGCTACAGAGCTATAGTTACAGAGCTACAGTTACAGAGATACAGTTAGATCTTCAGAGTTACAGTTAGAATTACAGTTACAGAGTTACAGAGCTACAGAGCTAGTTACAGTTATACAGAGATACAGTTAGATCTTCAGAGTTACAGTTAGTTACAGTTAGAGTTACAGAGCTACAGAGTTACAGTTAGAGTTACAAAGTTACAGAGCTTCAAAGTTACAGAGCTACAGAGTTACAGTTACAGAGCTAGAGTTAGTTACCTTTACAGTGCTACATAACTACAGTTACAGAGCTACAGAGTTGCAGAGTTATAGTTACAGTGCCACAGAGCTACAGTTACAGAGTTCATTACAGAGTTACAGAGTTGCAGAGCTACAGAGTTCCACAGCTACATTTACAGAGCTGCAGAGTTACAGAGTTAGAGTTATAGAATTACAGTTACAGAGTTACAGAGCTAGTTATACAGCTACATTTACAGAGCTGCAGAGTTACAGAACTACAGAGTTATACAGCTACATTTACAGAGCTGCAGAGTTACAGAGCTACAGAGTTATACAGCTACATTTACAGACCTGCAGAGTTGCAGAGCTACAGAGTTATACAGCTACATTTACAGACCTGCAGAGTTACAGAGCTACAGAGCTGCAGAGTTACAGAGCTACAGATTTAGTTAGAGAGTTAGAGAGCATTACAGTTTGAATTCTACATTACAGAGTTTATTTCACTCAATAAGAGTTTGAGTTTCATAGACTTACAGAGCTGCACAGTGGCAATTATAAAGTGCCAGAGTTTTGCAGTGTTACACACATGACACATTACACAGTAACAGAGTTTCAGAAGTCCAGTTTTGCAGTGTTACAGAGCTGCAGTGTTACAGACAAAGTTATTTTTAAACATTTTCATTAATTTAATTAATTCTGTGTTGTGGAGGTACAGTGTTACATTTAGCACTACAGAGCTACACACACTGTAATAAAACACAGTCTTTTAAAAATAAAGCCAGTACTACGTTATTACAGAGCGTCGTTAAGCCTAGAGCGAGTTACTCAGTCATACAGTGTTCTACAGGTGTGTGCTGCTCAGGCTGGGTTCTACAGGTGAACAGACACTCTGCAGAACCGTGTTTACTGTAAACAGCCTGTAATGTTACTCATAGTGGCTCAGCGTCCGACCTCACTGCACACACTAACACACACAATAACAACACACACACACACACACACACACACACAGTTCCTCATCTGGCATGTACACTGCATTCCCTGTGAACAGTGCTCTTATCCTCTCTGCTCAAACCCACTCATCTTCTCTCTCTCTCTCTCTCTCTCTCTCTCTCTCTCTCTCTCTCTTTCTCTCTCTCTCACTCCCTCTCTCTCTCATGTACACTCATCCCCTCTCTCTCTGTCAAATCTCCTCCCCCTCTGTTACTCCCTTCATCCTCCGCACTCCTCCGCTGATCCCCTGCTCTCTCTCTCTCTCTCTCTCTCTCTCTCTCTCTCTCTCTCTCTGTCTATTTGTGGGCCGATACAGAGCCTATTGATTTTCACAGAGACTGAATCAGCTTCATACTACAATCAGCTGACTTTGATCTGATCCCCCTTTTCTCCCCCCTCTCTCTTCCTTCTCTCTATTCTCTTTTCTCTCTTTCTTTTTTCTTTCTTTGTCTCTCTTTATTTCACTCTCTCTTTTCTTTCTATTTCTTTGTCTCTTTTTCTTCCTTTCTACCTTTCGCATTCTTTTTTTCTCTCTCCCTCTCTTTCTTTTTCTTTTTCTGTACACACACTCTCTCTCTCTTTCTCTCTCTTTACTCTTTCTCTCTCTCTCTCTCTGTACCCTCTCTCTCCCTCTGTCTCTCTCTCTGTGTACCCTCTCTGTCTCTCTGTCTCTCTCTCTCTGCACCCTCTCTCTCTCTCTCTCTCTCTCTCTCTCTCTCTTTCTCTCTCTCTTTGTGTGTGTGTTTGTATTCTCTCTCTCTCTCTCTCTCTCTCTCTCTCTCTCTCTCTCTGTAGCTCTGTTTAACCTGATTCCAGTGGGTCTGCGTGTGGTGGCGATTCAGGGAGTGAAGGCTGGTCTGTATGTGGGGATGAACGCTGAGGGGTTTCTCTACTCGTCAGTAAGTCTCTCTCTTCACTCTTCACTCCAGCACTGTGTTTTACATGTGTTTTGGTTTAATGTGCATTTCCTTTTGATTGTACAGCAACAAATGTAGTCCAAATTTGACAACGTGCCATCTTTGTAGATCCTCACAATCCAGTTGACTAACTAACTAACATCCTAACAAAGCTCCGCCCACATACTTATTCTTTCATAGCTACTGTTGCTACGTCAGACAAGCTCTACAGGTGAAAATCACATAAAACCTAATGAGAAACTGTAGAACAGACTCAGTTTATATCACAATGCCTACATTTAGAGTCGGTTATTCATTCAACCTAATGAGAAACTGTAGAACAGACTCAGTTTATATCACAATGCCTACATTTAGAGTCGGTTATTCATTCAACCTAATGAGAAACTGTAGAACAGACTCAGTTTATATCACAATACCTACATTTAGAGTCGTTTATTAATTCAACCTAATGAGAAACTGTAGAACAGACTCAGTTTATATCACAATACCTACATTTAGAGTCGGTTATTCATTCAGCCTAATGAGAAACTGTAGAACAGACTCGGTTTATATCACAATACCTACATTTAGAGTCGGTTATTCATTCAGCCTAACGAGAAACTGTAGAACAGACTCGGTTTATATCACAATACCTACATTTAGAGTCGGTTATTCATTCAGCCTAACGAGAAACTGTAGAACAGACTCGGTTTATATCACAATACCTACATTTAGAGTCGGTTATTCATTCAGCCTAATGAGAAACTGTAGAACAGACTCAGTTTATATCACAATACCTACATTTAGAGTCAGTTATTCATTCAGCCTAATGAGAAACTGTAGAACACACTCAGTTTATATCACAATACCTACATTTAGAGCCGGTCATTCATTGAACCTGGCTCTAAATGTAGGTATTGTGATGCAAACTCATCAGATTAAATGGGTTCGTCCAACCTCACAACAGTTCCTATATAAGAACACATTTGTGGGTGGAGCCTGGATATTTATTCATATTTTAGCTACGCATTTATGTTCATTTTTCCCCTGATCTGTTTGGTTAATGTTGGCTTTGAGGATTTTATTAGTAAATCTCCACACGGATGCGTGTTTTTTTGCGAGTGTGCAAGCGTGTGAGTGTGCGAGTGCATTATGCGCTTGTGTATCACTAAATGTCATGTCTTTTCAAGCTTCATCCGTTAAGTTTTGCTGCTTTTCTTCAAACCTTATAAGCGGTATGTATCGCTTTCATAGAATTTCTGTTTGTAGTTTTGTGCAGGTTCACTGTGCGTTATTGTTTATTATTATATAAATAATGCAGTGTGTGTTGCGTGTTGTTTGCAGTAATGTGTGAAGCGGTACAGTAGTGTGTTTATCTGTGAGCTGGAGTGTGTGTGGAGGTCTTGCAGTGCAGATGAGGTGCATATTGTCATTTGTGTTGAGTCAACGCAGGGCAAGCGGCAAAAATAGACACAAAGCCTATTTTCAGACTGCATGCACACACAGCCAGTGTAAAAGCTTACTTTAACTGACAGAGTAAAATGGCGAAATGGTCTTTTAACCACACATAACCATTTCAGAGAAACCTAGGTTTGTGTTTAATTAATTGGTTTACTTACTAAATTGAAAATAAAACAATATTTATTGTTTGTTTTCCTATAAAAATGCTGTAAAATACTCATTCAGTGTTATAGGCAAAATCAAGCGTTCAGATATGAATAGGGCTGCGACTATTGGATATTTTCATTTATGATTCATTGATTCATTATGTAGTAGTTTATTATGTAGTAGTGCAAAATATTATTAATTTTTATTTGAGCAAAAATTTTAAGGTTTCCACAAAAATGTATTATTTTGCACTGTGTATATATATATATATATATATATATACATACATATTTTTTTACATATATATATACTTTACTTTTAGTGTAAGTCAATGGAACCAGAATTTTTTCCACGTAATTTTGGGTCATTTGTTTTGGTCCATCATGAAATTTACACACAATGTAAATATGAAATAATGAAATAATGAACCCTGGTTAGCTTCCTGTCCCAGTACCAGTGTCCTGTGTTTCCCAGGATTTGTAAATAGTGTAAAGTGTTTAGTTCAGATATGGAGGGTTTAGATGTCCAGAGTTGGCTGGTCGTTTAGTGTTTTTCAGACGTCACTGTTGTTTGTGTATTTTATAGTTGTTGTCTATTGTATTGTGATTTGTATCTGATCAGTACAGTATTGTGTGTTGTGTAGGATGTAGTGTGAGTTTGTTTTAGTTGTGTTTGCGTCGTTGGTTCCAGTGTGTCGTGCAGTTTTCATCCATCCATCCATCCATCCATCTATCCATCCATCCATCCATTTATTCAAGGGGCGGAAAGGAGGAATTAAGCCTGTTCTGTGGTGTCTAAGTTAACGTTAGCTTAGCGAGCAGCTACAGACCCAAACAGAGCCACACACAACAGTGCAGGTCTGATTGTGACTGACTGCTGCTCTGCTGAAACAAGTGTAGATGATGAACACGTCTGAGAGAGTCAAAGTGGAGTAATTGACAGGAAGCTGAAATCAAACCTGTCCTGTGGTGTTTCGGGCTGTAGCGCTTTGGCTAAGCGATGGCTTAGTTTGCAGGACAAATGCACCACACAGCACAGCAAGCTCGGTTCCAGCTAACTGAAGCTAAAATGACCCCTGTTCAGACGATTTCTGAGACCCTGTTTACACCTGGTCACTTCATGCATCTTGTTTATCAGGATTATATCTGGATCAGGCCAAACCACATCAAATGGGAGTGTAAACGCAGCCAAAACACCAGAAACAGATCTGATCACTCAGACCTCTTTAGGAGGTGAACTGAGGTGCATTTTGGCCACATATTATAGCAGCGTAAACACATCTGTCTCTCCAAGATACATTCAACAACCAAAACCCCTCCCAGTACAACTGAAACTCTTCCCAGTACAACTGAAACTCCTCCCAGTACAGCCAAAACTCCTCCCGGTACAACCGAACCTTCTCCCAGTACAACTGAAACTCCTCCCAGTACAGCCAAAACTCCTCCCGGTACAACCGAACCTTCTCCCAGTACAACCAAAACTCCTCCCAGTACAACGAAAACTCCTCCCAGTACAACTGAAACTCCTCCCAGTACAGCCGAAACTCCTTCCGATACAACCGAAACTCCTTCCAGTACAACTGAAACTCCTCCCAGTACAACCAAAACCCCTCCCAGTACAGCCAAAACTCCACCCAGTACAACCGAAACTCCTCCCAATACAGCCAAAACCCCTCCCAGTACAACTGAAACCCCTCCCAGTACAACCAAAACCCCTCCCAGTACAGCCAAAACTCCTCCCAGTACAACCAAAACTCTTCCAAGTGTAATCAAAACCCCTCCCAGTACAACCGGAACTCTTCCAAGTGTAATCAAAACCCCTCCCAGTACAACCAAACCCCTCCCAGTACAACCAAAACTCCTCCCAGTACAATCAAAACCCCTCCCAGTACAATCAAAACCCCTCCCAGTACAACCAAAACTCCTCCCAGTAAAAACAGGCTGTGGTCTTTTCTGGTCATCTCTCAGTGCAGCTCCTTGCCGTTTGTGTTTGTTGAAAATCTGTGTGAAAATTTGTGCACAAATGCAAAAAACATTTCCAGTGTAGAATTTTCAGGTATTTCAGGTATCGATAAACAATTTAGCCATTAAAGTTGAACGGAAAAGACATTCGTATTCGTCGACATTCATAAAATATTACAGACACTTTGCGTTTCTATCGCCCACATCAACGAACTTTTACAGCATATCTGTACGATCAAACTCACGTCTGCTAGGAGAGCATATACATTCGAGCATAATAGTTTAGCAACCTAAAAAATTATGCTTTATTTATGATTAAATAACCCAAACTATTATCAGTGTCAGTTATAATGCCAATAAAAATAAACATAAAAAATAACAGTAATACTAATAATTAGTGCAGTCCGTATTTTCTGTGCTAATTGGTGTAAACAAAAACTGCAGTTATTTTATGTTCAATTTAAAGACGTATTACACTGTAATTGCTCAAGAGCCGCCAAACACTGTCGTTTTATTGGCTCCCTACTGAAACATCTGCATGATTCATGTAAATGATATGTAAATGAGGTGCTGGCAGGCTGGCACTTGATTTCACGCGCGGAAGCTGCTTTTGCTCAAATCTCTGCTCGTTTCCACATCGTACGAAAGTTTTTTGCGCAACTTTGATGAAGAAGGACCAGGTTTATCCTCGTGTGTGTGTGTGTGTGTGTGTGTGTGTGGTCAGCTGCTCTGAGTGTGTTATCCCGAGTCGTGTGTGAGGTGTGAGAGTGTTGATTAATCTGAGTTTCAGGGTGATAATGAACTGATACAGAGGCGTCAGAGTGTCTGCGTAGATTCATCAGTGAGGAGAATTTTAAACAGACGCAAAGTTTCAGCGCTGCACTGCTGACAGTGAGGCAGAAGTAATGCTGAGTTAAAAGAGGAACTCCACCCATTTTCCAAAATTTCCTCCATAATTCAGTGTGTGAGCTGTAATCAGAGTGATTCAGAGTGGTTTGGTGTGAAATGGTTCAGATGCCTTTACAGTGGTGGTGATAGGAACCAGGGGTCGCCATGACTACAACACAAATATAGACATTTTATTTACTATCCAGAACCACGAGTGAACCTACACGAGTCTTCTGAGTTTATGTGGAATGTTGATGATGGAAAATAGTGGAAAATCTGAAATAATAAGTTTTCTTTGGGGACTATTTTGCCTCACAGCGCCCTGCATGTATCCCTCCACCATGAATGGAGTTTAAGTTCTCTAAACTATCATAAAACAGTGTCTCAGTCATCAGGCAGTGAATTCATAACCATTTCATGTAGTAACTTTCTGTGAGGGAGCTTTTAGAGGTGGACGTCTGGTTCCTATCACCACCACTGTGAACAGTTCTGACTCTGTAAGTTTATCTAGAACAGAGAGTTTCACACCAAACCGCTCTGAACAGCTCTGATTACATCTTAACCACTTAATTATGGAGGAATATATAAAAATGGGTGGAGTTCCCCTTTAATATACAGTGTATGTGAGAGTCCTTCAGGTGATTTCTGCTCTGCTTGTTTTCTCCGCCCCCCCACCTGTGTGTGTTTGATTAACTGGGACACACACACACACACACACACACACACACACGCTCACAGGGGGTCAGTGTGGCAGACTGTAGTGTAGAGATTACTCTATTTAAATCTCTCTCTCACCCTCTTCTTCTCTCCATCTTTCTTTCTCCTCACTCTCTTTTCACTCTTTTCTTCTACCTCTCTCCATCACTCTCTATCCTCTCTCTTTTCGTTCCCCTCTCTCTCTCTCTACCACCCTCTTACTCTGTTTTCCTCTCACTCTTTCTCCTTTCCTTCATCTCTCTCTCCCTACCTCCCTCTGTCTCTCTCTCTCCCCCTCTCTTTTTCTCTCTCTCCCTCTGTTATCTCTCTCCCTCTCTCTGTCTCTCTCTCCCTCTCTTTGTCTCTCTCTCCCTCCCCCCTCTCTCTCTCTCATTCTCTCTCCCTCTGTTATCTCTCTCCCTCTCTCTGTCTCTCTCTCCCTCTCTTTGTCTCTCTCTCCCTCTCTTTGTCTCTCTCTCCCTCTGTTTTCTCTCTCCCTCTGTTATCTCTCTCTCATTCTCTCTCCCTCTGTTATCTCTCTCTCTCCCTTTCTATTTCTCTCTCTCTCTCTCTCTCTCTCTCTCATTCTCTCTCCCTCTGTTATCTCTCTCTCCCTGTCTATTTCTCTCTCTCTCTCTCTCTCTCTCTCTCTCATTCTCTCTCCCTCTGTTATCTCTCTCTCATTCTCTCTCCCTCTGTTATCTCTCTCTCTCCCTCTCTATTTCTCTCTCTCTCTTTCTCTCTCTCTCTCTCTCTCTCTCTCTCATTCTCTCTCCCTCCCTCTCTCTCTCTTTCTCTCTCTCTCTTTTTGTACTCTCTCTCTCTGTACTCTCTCTGTGTCTCTCTCCCTCTATTATCTCTTTCTCTCTCTCTCCCTCTGCAGGAGGTCTTCACGGTGGAGTGTAAGTTCAAAGAGAGCGTGTTTGAGAATTACTATGTGATTTATTCGTCCACGCTGTACCGGCAGCACGAGAGCGGCCGCGCCTGGTTCCTCGGCCTCAACAAAGACGGCATCATCATGAAGGGCAACCGCGTCAAAAAAACCAAACCCTGCTCGCACTTCGTCCCCCGCCCCATCGAAGGTGAGCGCTCGCTTACAGAGCCCCAAAAACGGGACCTCTCTCTCTTTACATTAGAGTCTGAGTTTAATGTAAACACACCGATCATGCTGCAGTCCATGCTGTCCATATATAGACACTAAGGCTGTTTTAATGATGTTACAGAAAACAACTCATTTACATGTATCAGCATATTCAGACTACAGCAGTTTAGCCCCGCCCATTCACGCTGAAGTTATAAGGAGTGTTTTGCTCTGGGCTGCTTTTGGAACAAGGCACAGGATGGGGCAGCCAATCAGAACACAGCTAATTTGCATATATCAGTAATAAAGGTACAAAATCAAAAGAAGCCTGTTTAATTTTAAATGATAAAGAGCGAATGGAAAATGACACAAAATAAAATAAAAAATAAAAAACACATTTGCACACCAGATAAGGCAAAATGTGTCAACCATAAAACATAATGTGTAAAGAGTAAATTGCATTGTGTAAAAATGTTAATGTTAAAAATGTAAAGATGGGTGAAGGGTGCAACATGTGTAAAGTATGAAGTGTGAAGCGTAAAGTGTAAATTGCAGACTGTAAAGAGCAACTTGTGAAGTGTAAAGCAGTTTAATGTAAAAAGCCAAAAAAGTGTAATGCAAAAACACGTCACGTAAAGCTTGTTTGTGTAAATTGAAAAGTGTTTCTAAAAAAAACTAAAAAGTGTCATGCAGAAAATATGAGGGATAACAAAGTGTTAAATATGTATGTAAAATTGAAAGTGTAAAGTATAAAGCACAAAGCAAGTTTTTATACGTAAATCAAAAGCATAAGGTACCACGTGTAAGATGAAAGTGTAAAGCGTAAAATGTGTAAAGCAGTAAGCTTAAGTTGTAAAGTGTAAAGCATAAAAAAGTGTAATACTTAATGTGTAAAGCATTAAGCATGTATAATTTACAAATCACAAAGCGTAAAGTGCAGTGTGTAAAGTGCAATGTTTTAGGTGTAAAAAGTCTAAAAAGTGTAGTGTGTAAAGTTGAAAGCTTGAAGTGTAAAGCATAAAATGTGTAAAGCATTAAGCTTAAGCTGTTAAGTGTAAAATGTGTAATGCTTGACATGTAACGTGTAAAGCATAAAACATGCATAATTTCCAAATCATAAAACATAAAGCTCAACGTGTCAGTACAAACAGCGTAAAGTGTAAGGCAAAAAAGTGTAAAGCATAAAGTGTAAATTTTAATTACACACTACTTAAAAACAAAGAGTAAAGCGTAAAGTGTAACTCATAATGTTCACAGTGTAAAGGGTGATGTATACAGTTTTCAGTGTAAAGTGTGATGTGTAAAGTTTACAATGTAGGGTGTGATATGCAAAGTTTACTGTGTAAAGGGTGACGTGTAACATTTACAGTGTGAAGCATGCTGTGTAAAGTTTTACGTGAAAAGTGTGACGTATAACGTTTCCAGTGTAATGGGTGACGTGTGAAGTTTACAGTGTAAAGAATGATGCGTACAGTTTACAGTGTAAAGTGTGACACGCTCACTCTCTCCTCCTCTTCCTCCCCGTTAGTGTGTATGTACAAGGAGCCGTCGCTGCACGAGCTGGACGAGAAGCAGCGCTCCAGGAAAGACTCAGGGACTCCGACCATGAACGGAGGAAAGGAGCTAAACCCGGACTCCAACGAGCAGGACGGATCATAGCTGCTCTCTCTCTCTCACACACACACACGTATATACACACATACACACACACACACACACACATGCAGCACCTCCTGGAGCTGAACGTCACCTTCAACATCAACAACCACCAGAATATCAAAGGAAGAAACCAACTGACGTGAAAACACACTGAAAGGGACGAAACTGAATCCTTGCCTGTGAATATCGTAGAAAGAAAACAGTAGAAAAACAAACAAAAATACGAAATCAGGACATTTTATGCAAAGCCTGCCGAGTGTGTGTCCGACCCGCGTCCCCTCGGAGCCGAGGCGGCGGCGCGTGTGAGTTCTGGAAGGTTAAGCTTTAAGCCATGTACGAATTCTCATGTGTTGATTTACGAATGCAAACGCACTTTTCACGCGCTTCTGTGTGTCGCTCTGCTCATCATTATCAGTCGTTACTATCGACCGTCTCTTTTCTGTTGGTCTGACTCTGTTTGTGGGCGGGAGGTGTGGGGGGGGGAGGGGCTTCACAGTCTGCTCTCTGATTGGCTGAGGTGGTGAATGGTACTGGAGCGCTGGCCTGTGATTGGCTGTGCTGTGATGTCACAAAGGAAATGACCAAACATAGATTTGGATATTTACACGAATATCCAGTGATGTCCGGCTGCAGGCTGAGCTCTAGACTGGCCAAAGCCTCAGCTCGGGAGGAGGGAGCCCCTCAGTGGGTGGATGTTAGCCAACAAGCTAGCTAGCTAAAGAGTTGGTGCGGTATCTCATGCTAATTTTAGGTAAATAAAACACAGTTGTGGTTAGCTGTAGTTACCCTCCCAACTATGTTAGCTAGTGTAGGTAGATTAAACCACTTCCTCACATTAAGCTAGAGACCTAGAACATTAGCTTGTTAGCTAGCTAGCACACCAAAACAGTGGCTTTAAACTAACCTGTGATTATTAAAGCTTGGCCTTCACTTTGAGCCATAAATTTCTCAAAAAGCACCTTTGTTAGTGCTATTTCTTTCTAGCACCTCTATGGGATTTCTAGTTGTATGTTAGCGCTAAGCTAACTGTAGATTAAACACAAGTTTGAAGCTCGCAAATAATACTAACATATATTTGACTTTTTCAGTAGGTTTTCCATTTTTAACAACTGAAACCTGGTTAGACTACAGCTTATTTTCACAGTCACTTATCTAGAACTTAGAGAAGATCTAGACTGACGTTGATTCTCTCTTTAAATTGGTGCCAGTCTGTATCTGCGTAGATACCAAAGAGAGACCAATTCCGATTGGACGGTGTACCATTGGGCGTTTTGTTTTCAACTAAAACTTAAAGAGTTTTAAAACGACTTTTATTGCAATACTTACAATTTAAATACAATGAGTACGATAATTCTATTAAATAAAAAAGAACCAAAAATTAAACATATTTTTTTAGTTCTCGCAAATCATTAGCACTTCTCTGAAGGTCCTGAGGGTTCCTCGCTGTAACTACATCGTAAAGAATTTATTTACGCTACAAAATTTAACCTAACATTAATGTGAGCTACGTTACCAACACTTTAGCAATCTAACTTCGATAGCTATTTTGCTCCCTAGCTGAGGCTCCGCCCAGTCTGCGGTTTGATCTGCGGTGCTTCAAATGTCTGGAAATTTCCCTACGAAGGTGTTTGCGCGATGGGGGATCCTTAACTGCCGTTTGTCTTATCGCAGTCACAGTCTGTGTTTTTTGTAGATTTTATTTTGTAGCATTTGGCGAGACCGGCGGGGGATGGACGTTTAAACAGCTGCTTTACGAATAAAAACAAAAGCGACGGTGGTGAACAAACCACGGCCGATTTTTAACGATGTCTTAATGTTTTTTGAAAACTCCCCCCCCCCGCGCCTTTACGACTATTAATACTATGATTATGATTGTTATTATACTAAGCTGCTAATTTTACGCTAAACTACTAAAGTTATACTGAAAGCTTGCCTCTCTTTATCCTGCATGAGCATGTCCAGACTCTCTCTGTGCTTGATCTCATTGTGTTCGACCTCGTTGGCCCTTGTTTATCAAAGTTGCGTACGAGCAAATATAATCGTGAAAAAAAGAGAGTACGCAAATTTTGCTCTTCGGGTTCATATCAGTTTTACTAGGGCTGTCAAAACGATCGCGTTAACATGGTGTTAACATTGGTGGCGCTAATTCATAAGAGTGAATCTGTACGATAAATTCACGTCTGGTGTAAATTTGTGCAAAAATAGTTAATAACCTAAAAATGATTGGTTTGCAGGTACATAAGCAAAGTAATTATCAACATTATCAGTATGTATCATAATCATTGAAAATATTAATGGTAACAAAAATCGCTCAATGGCCTATAACCCTGCTGGACTGTTTTTTTTTTTACATCTTTTATTCAAATCTGCATAAATTAGGGAGTGTTTTATGTAAATTGTATGTAAATGAAGGTAAATGACACAAAAGTGGGCTGAGCCAAGTGCTTCACACCTTACATCTCAAATTTGCATTCATTTCTAAGCAAATGCATCTTACAAAAAAAGAAGGTTCTACAAGTGTTCTTTGGTAAAGACGATGGTTCTATATAGAACCATGAACACTCGTGAACGTTAAATGCTTCTTTTCATGGTGGAATCGTTCTTCAGATTGTTTTGTGTATGGTTCTATATAGAACCGAAAAGGATTCTGGAATTGTGTACAACGTCAAGCTTGTAATAGAAGAACTGTTTTTTGGTGCTGTACAGAACCGTTTTCAAAGGGGTTCCATATAGAACCATTTACAACACAGCTTCCATCAATCTGAACAACGATTTCACCATGGAAAGAACCATTTAATCACGTAAATGGTTTTGGACTGGTTATGGTTCTACATAGAACCACTGTCTATGTACTGTCAGAACCCTTGAAGAGCCATCTTTATAAGAATGTAGGGCTTGACATCTAGTGAGAGTGTATATCATATATTATATATATACAGTCAGTGAGTGTACATGTCATATATATCATAGTCAGTAAGTGTATGTATCGTATGTCAAATGTACAATCAATGAGTGTATATATCATATATATAAAATATACAGTCAATGAGTCTATATGTCAAGTTTCTCATATATACAGTCAATTAGCATATATGTCACATGTATATCATATATACAGTGTGTATATATCATATATAGGTCAGATATATCATATATACAGTCGATAGGTAGACTAATAAAGGCTGTATTTGAACAAGAGCGCTACAATCACAGATCTCTCAGACTGACACACTGCAGCTGGGCTTCAGCCTGCACGGCTACGGGTGGGTTGAAGGGTCAAACTAGGAGAGCGTGTTTTGACAGCCCTAGTGTGCATCCGTTACACTATACAACAAGCAGCTTCACAGCAGCTCGTGTTTTACTGGTGCGATCTTCTCCGATATCACTAAATTGGTAGAACCGCAATGTTGCTGATATGAGTGATATATCGGTCGGGCCCTCTCTGCTCTCACTGTGTGTGTGCTCTGTGTGTGTGTGAGCTCTAATTGATTGTACACACTCTCCCCAGTGTGTATTTCCTGCCAAAAGCACAGACTGCCCTCACACACACACACACACACACACACACACACACACACACGCACACACGTAACTCTGCAGTAAGCCTGAATCTGATTGGCCACTGAGGTCCAGCTCGCTCCTCCATCCAGCAAACGTTCGTTGCTCAGAAAGAGCCAATCAGCAGTGCTTTGCTAAAGGGGGCGGGGTTTGTGAGAAGTCTTCCATTAGGAGAGCAGCACCAGCATCACCTGCACGTGTCAGGGGGCGGGGTTACGGGTTCGGGGGCGGGGTCAGTGGGGGGATGTCACTGGCTGGTTCACTGCAAAAATGATATCTTTTACAAGTGAGTTCATCTCAAATCTGGTCAATGTGTTCAATATTTCTCAACAATGTTGCTCTAAGAATATTATAAAGATTATTTGACCTGAATGTAATATTGCTGGTGATGGGATTAATATAAAAATATTATGAGAACATTTGACTTATTTCTAGACATTTTTACGAGTAAATTTTAACTTTTAAATTTTAAATTTTGTTACATTAAAAAATGCAAATTATTGTGCATAAACTTTTTTGTCTGAACAGAACTAGGCATCAGGCTGCGGCCTATCAAAGTAAAGTGGGCACAGAGGGGGCGGGGCTTATCCACCAACCCTCCAATTACTGTGCTTTTATTCTGAAGAGTTTTTAAATTGAAAAAGTTGTGATGTTTGGGGTTTATTTTGTCAGAATTCGGCACGGCAACAGCTAAATTGTCCACGTTAATAGTTAATTCCACGTGTAAAAGCTCTGATTTTTGCAGTGTAAATAAAGATGTCTGCCTGCGTTTGAGAGAAAACTTTAATTTTTGATTACTGCCTAAAGTTAACGATGTTTTTTGTGTTTGTTAATGTTTGCACCTTAATGACGAACCACATACAGAACCATGATGTAAATGATTGTCTTAAAAAAACATCGCAAGAAGATCAGAAGGATGAAAAGATAATTTACCAATTAAAAATAATGAAACCAAATACAGGAGTGATAGTGTTTAATTCAACCACACACAATAACACACACACTAACCCACACACACAAACGCACTAGCCCACACACAGACTAACACACACAGTCACATACACACACACACACACACACACACATACACACATACACAATAACACAAACACACTAACCCACACACACACTAGCCCACACACAGACTAACACGCACAGTAACATACACACACACACACACACACACACACACACACACATACACAATAACACAAACACACTAACACACACACACAGTAACATATACACACTAACACACACACTAACATACACACCCTAACATATATATGCACTAACACACATAAACACTTGAACACACACATTAACACCTACATGCACACCAACACACAACACACAACCATACACACTAACACACACATAGACTAACACACACACACACACACACACATTAACACCTACACACACATACATACATTAACCCCCACACACACAAATACCACGGCTCAAATGTTTGGAATCAGTTTTCAATGTAACAAAAAATGCAGATTTTTCTGTTATGACTTCACTGCACTACAACTTCAGTTAATTAGCTGTAAATAGATGGACTGATTTTCTAAATTGATTTTCTACTGACAGAATTGACAATTCTGAAGTGACTGTGAAAGCTGCAGAACCCACAGTTGTAATGTAATAGAAAGCTGCTCCTTCTGGTGTAGCTCACTGTATTTCAGTCAATTAGTCACTGTATAAATCACTACTGAATAAATTAACACCAATAATTACATTATTACATTAGAACTGAGTCCAAACTTCTGAACGCCAGTAGATACTCATCACAGCCATGGGGTGTGTCTGAGAGAGCGTGTGAGCGTGAGAGATGTTTCTGGAAAGTGTAGTGTGTGTGTATGTGTGTGTGTGTGTGTGTGTGTGTGTGTGTGTGTGTGTGTGTGTTTGAACTGGAAGTGTCTAAAAATAAACGTCACTGTTTTTCCTCCGTTTGTGTTCCACTCAGAACAGATCATTATTAATATTTCATAAAGAGCCTACAAATATGCTTTCATCAGTGTGTGTGTGTGTGTGTGTGTGTGTGTGTGTGTGTGAGTGTGAGTGTGTGTGTTTAACAGATAATTCAGCCGAGCATGACAGAAACGGTCGTGCTGCCGCTGCTGCTGTGACGAGTTTTTTAAAGACAGTTTTGCGCTTCCTGAAATAGTGCTGGCGTGCAGATCACTGATAAAGTGATGCTGTACTTTAAAGCTCCATCACTACACAGACACACATACTCATAACCTGATTCTAACACTGCATTCTTACAGTGATAGATCAATAAAAACACCCCCGTTACACCCATTATAGTCAATCAGCCAAGACATGCTGGATCGGCTTCTTTAGTTTTGCACATTACATAGGTTTAAATGAAACCACTTAACGTGGTTACATTCAAATACATTTACAAACCCAGTTCCAAAGAGTTGGGACTGGTCAAATGTCTCTGTCTCTATATCTGTGTCCGTATCTTTGTGATGATCCAGCTCAGAAATCCAGTTCAAACACTTCCTGAATCTGTAGAGTCGCCCTTTCCATTCCCTCTCATCACAAGATCATACGAGACTCACATCCGGAGTTATGAGCCTATGAAGAGGGGCTGAGATACACGTCATCTGCCTCTCACCGTGTGGAACTGGTGGATTCGTGTGTCCGTCTACATTCTGTGTGAAACTGACCAACGGACACTCAGGAAATCACTAAGGACTGACCATCACGCTGGAAACCCTTCATTCTTCATTCAGTCCACATCAGAGACTCATGTTAAACGGCGTGCAGAGAAGGATTTAAGGAGATATGAACAAAACTGAGAGGATGACCTCAGACCACAGAAGGTTAAAAACAGAAAGCAGTGATTTGTAAATTCGTATTTCAAAGAAGAAGCACAAAAGATGAGATAATGTGTTACTTTACCCTCTCAACTACTTTGTGTTTTCTACATACGCTCATTCTGAAACGCCGCCGACTTCTCTGGGCTTGAGCTCAACTGAAATGCTCAGTGAAAATGTGTACTGTGGTCTGACCTTTTAGATTGCGTCAAACTTTCGGATTGTTTATGGAAACAATGAATGTTGTGTAGAAGAAAAGGACCATCCAGATTGTTACCAGCGTAAACTTCTAAATCTAGCATCTGTCATGGTGTGGGGGAGGTATTAGTGGGTAACCTGCACATCTTATTAACACTGAACACATTTGAGAGCAATGTATGCTGCCTTTTAGATGACGTCTTTTTCAGGGACGTCCACACTATTGAATCAGGTTCTTCAAGGGCTCTTTAGTAAAGACAGTGATTCTATATAAAATCACAAACACTCAAAGAACCACTTACAAGCTTAAATGGTTCTCTGCATGGTGAAATAGTTCTTCAGATTGATGGAGAATGTGTTGCATTTGGTTCTATATAGAACCTTTTAAAAAAAAAAAACGAAACTCAGCAGAGGAAACTGAAGATAACTGGATGTATGACTCTTAAATCAATAAACTGAATCTTAAAACAAGTTTTTTAGTGAAGGAGAACAGTGCAAACCGGTACTCTATCTGATGTAGCTTGTTTTTACCACTGAATTATACAATTTTGAGACTTTCTGACTTGTTGAGACTTGAAAGTAAGTAAATAACTTTTAAAACCAGATCATTAATCAGTATTTCCAGATCTAAGATTTTAAATCTTGGCAAGCAGAGAACAGTTTGCAGTTTGGGGGGCATTTGCATCATCACTGAACCATATCGCTGATAAAAATTCAACACTTAAGGTGGAACGGAAAAATTCAAAAAAGAAGCTGGTGAATGAGAAGCGACTTCAGCCACATAAAAAAATCTAACGTTGAGAGACATTTTGCAAGAAACTGTTCTATGTTTGTGGAAAAGTTTCCTGCCAGAGATGTGAGAAAAGCAGCTATAGCTGAATTAAAGCTTGAAGCAGAGCAAAGTAAGTCTGTGTTTATGTTTACATTATATTTTTTAGCCTATACTAGCACATTAGCGCATACTGAAATATGTTTACAGCCAAGATGGTAAAATGGACATAAAACATTATGACTCCCAAGGTGGTATGACCCATGGGTTATAGGAAAAAGCAAGTGGACAACAATTACAACACAAAAGAGCCAGTGAACGATAACTCCAACATAAAAATCAGCAGCAAAACGTAAGATGGAGGATACATGAGGCTGTAGGAGGGATGTATTCAAAGAAAAGATTTGGGTGACTATTGGCTTCTAGTGTTTGTTAACTACATTAACCCTGTAGCTTGAGTTATAAACTAAAGAGGCAAAATTTGGGCTCTGAGCACATCTCAGCCGATCGACTACACCTGGAGAAAGTTTACTTTTTATATTTTGCCAAATTTATTTGATTAGATTGCTGTGGATAAGAGCGTCTGCCAAATGTATAGATCCTGCAATAACAAGATCAACTAACCCCATTTATCGCAGTCACTCTGGTTCTCACAGTTTGCTGACTCAGATCTGATCTCCTCACACTGAATTACAGTTGGCTCCCAGCCAGCAAGTGTGTGTGTGTGTGTGTGTGATATCTATAGATCTACAGGACTGTACATTTGTGTGTGTGCAGCAGTAGAATGTTCATTGTCTGCCCTCTGCTGGTGGAGAGTGTGCAGTGCAGTGGTTCATGCATACACTACATGGCCACAAGTATGTGGACACCCCTCCTAATGATTGAGTTCAGGCGTTTCAGCCACACCCATTATAACAGGTGTATAAAATCAAGCACACAGCCTTGCAGTCTACATAGACAAACTCTGACAGTAGAGGGTCGTACTGATGAGCTCAGTGACTTCAAACATAGCACTGTCATAGGATGCCACCTCTGACCACAAGTCAGTTTGTGAAATTTCTGCCCTGCTAGATCTGCCCTAGACAACTGTAAGTGTTATTACTGTGAAATGGACCAACAACAGCTCAGCCACAAAGTGGTAGACCACGCAGACTTGGAGCGAGTGTTGAAGCACAGCCGCATTGACCTGCCTCTAGAAGCAACATCAGCAAGAACTGTTCATCAGGAGCTTCATGAAGTGGGTTTCCCTGGCTGAGCAGCTGCACACAAGCCTAAGATCACTATGCGCAATGCCAAGTGTCGGCTGGAGTGGTGTAAAGCGCCACCACTGGACTCTGCAACAGTGGAACTGTGTTCTCTGGATTGATGAATCAGCTTCAGTCTGATGATGAATTTGGGTTTGGTGGACGTCAGGAGAACGTTACCCGCCTGACTGCACTGTGCCAACAGTAAAGTTTGGTGGAGGAGGGATGATGGGCTGGGCTGTTTTTCAGGGTTTGGGCGCTTAGTTCCAGTGAAGGGTGATGTTGATGCTACAGCACAAAGACATTGTACACAGTTATCTGCTTCCAGCTTTGTGGGAACAGTTTGGGGTAGAACCTTTCCTGTTCCAGCATGACTGAGCCCCAGTGCACAAAGCAGCTCCATAAAGACATGACTGGGTGAGTTTGGTGTGGAAGAGCTTGACTGGCCCTCACAGAGCCCTGACCTCAACCCCATCAAACACCTTTGGGATGAACTAGAACGGAGATTGTGAGTCAGACCCTCTCGTCCAACATCAGTGTCTGACCTCACAAATGCTCTTCTGGATGAATGGACAGAAATTCCCACAGACTCTCTGCAACATCTTGTAGAAAGATTCCCAGAAGAGTGGAACCTGTTAAAGGTACTAAACTGTTACTGGGTCAGTTCCTCTCTTGTCACTGGGGTGGTTCTCTCAAGGGTTCATCTCAGTACCTTTAGTCAGGGAACATAACTGTACCACACACCCCATCTCGTCTGTTTTAAAACATTCCGTTATGAAAAGGTACAAATACGAACTTTGTTTTGACTATATATTGTATGTGTTTGTGTGTGTGTGTGTATATATATATATATATATATATATATATATATATATGTATATATATATACACATATATAGCAAAAGATGGTATCTTGGCAAGTGAAGTTATCTTAAATCTGGTCTATCCAAAATTTATTTCAAATATATATATATTTATATATTTTATATACGGCTCCACTACTGACCCCACTACTGCTGTACCACCCCTCCCCCACCACACCACAGTGAATGGAGCCTTATTCATTAGAGCAGCCAATCACACACACACACACACACACACACACTGTGCCCTTCACGATCCCCTGTGTGTGACCTCTCTGTCTCTTTCACCATTTTCCAGATAAGTGTGTTCTTCATATATCACAGCAGACGACCGAGCGTCTTTACAGTCTTCATGCTGCAGAGAACCTGCTGACGCAGCACATTACACATTTCACACTTCAGCAGCCGGCCTGCAGGGGGCGCCAGAGGAGCACAGACTAAGAACCAGCACACACTGAACCTCTGTGGATCCCTCTCAGTGTGCAGAGCCACACAGTTCCACACAGTGAACCTCCAGGTCCCTCTCAGTGTGCAGAGCCACACAGTTCCACACAGTGAACCTCCAGATCCCTCTCAGTGTGCAGAGCCACACAGTTCCACACAGTGAACCTCCAGGTCCCTCTCAGTGTGCAGAGCCACACAGTTCCACACAGTGAGCTGGAGTTCCTGCTTTATGCTCAGTGTTCAGCCAGCGTCGCTGTGGCTATGATGGAGATGATGATGTTTCTAAAATAGATTATTATATGATTATAGATCTGTAAGGGTGTCAGTACAGTGTGTGTTATAGGCGCGTTATAGATTATTATATAATTATAAATCTGTAAGGGTGTCAGTACAGTGTGTGTTATAGGTGCGTTATAGATTATTATATGATTATAGATCAGTAAGGGTGTCAGTACAGTGTGTGTGTTATAGGTGCGTTATAGATTATTATATGATTATAGATCAGTAAAGGTGTCAGTACAGTGTGTGTGTTATAGGTGTGTTATAGATTATTATATGATTATAGATCAGTAAGGGTGTCAGTACAGTGTGTGTGTTATAGGTGTGTTATAGATTATTATATGATTATAGATCAGTAAGGTTGTCAGTACAGTGTGTGTGTTATAGGTGTGTTATAGATTATTATATGATTATAGATCAGTAAGGGTGTCAGTACAGTGTGTGTGTTATAGGTGTGTTATAGATTATTATATGATTATAGATCAGTAAGGGTATCAGTACAGTGTGTGTGTTATAGGTGTGTTATAGATTATTATTTGATTATAGATCAGTAAGGGTGTCAGTACAGTGTGTGTGTTATAGGTGTGTTATAGATTATTATATGATTATTGATCAGTAAGGGTGTCAGTACAGTGTGTGTGTTATAGGTGTGTTATAGATTATTATATGATTATAGATCAGTAAGGGTGTCAGTACAGTGTGTGTGTTATAGGTGTGTTATAGATTATTATATGATTATAGATCAGTAAGGGTGTCAGTACAGTGTGTGTGTTATAGGTGTGTTATAGATTATTATATGATTATAGATCAGTAAGGGTGTCAGTTATAGATCCTCCCTCTGCTCCCTTGTTGTGAAATTTCCGGAAGGCGCGGGGTTTCCCGTGTGGGCGGAGCCTGACGGAGCGCGAGCTTCCGCTCAGTTCGAGCAGGACAGCCTGAGAGTAAGAGACTCTGTAAGATACACTTACATGCGCACACACACACACACGGAGGACACACCGCCGGTTGGGACCTCGCGGCTCGGACTGCACTGCCCGCGCGCGCCTGTTTTCTGTGTGTTTGTGTCATCGCGCGTGCTGGCTGAGTGTTTCAGTTTGACTGTTGTGAAATCAGGCTGTTTGCTGTCCGCGCGCGCAGTTCCGGTGAGTTTGTGAAAGGCGCGCGCAGGTCCCGCTCCGCTGCTCAGAGAGCAGCCCTAAATCACGAGCGTTCTGACCGTAAGTTGTGTGTGTGTGTGTGTATGTGTGGCACCGATAAGCCGCCCTGCGCCGGGACCTCCTACAGACCACCGGGACCAGAGAGCGCGAGGTGAGTGTGTATGTATATATATATATATATATATATATATATATATATATATATATATATATATATAATAAAATTAATTTACTTGTTACCACAGGAAGTAATTTTTTTAGGTTGACCTGATGAGCCATTTTTAACAGTGTGTGTATATCTATGTCAATATCTACATCAATATAACTATATGTATATCGATCTCTCTCTCTCTCTCTCTCTCTCTCTCTCTCTCTCTCTCTATATATATATATATATATATATGTATATATATACATACTGCACTTTAAATATGATAACTGACTGTAACAATCCCCCAAGCTCGTATAGACATATAATCTATCTATACAGTTATATATAACATATAATTATTCTATATAATTTTTCAAATCTTTTCTGTGTTGATGATTTACTGCAGTAGTTGTAGGTAATCAGTGCTGTACTGACTGATATGATGGTCAGCTGTGTATGTGTGTATTCTGTGTGTATGTCGTGTGTGTTTATTGTATGTGTATGTGTTTATTGTGTGTGTACGTTGTGTGTATATATATGTATATATATATATATATATATATATATATGGGCGAGGGGGGTAAAAATGACAGAAATCACCCACTGTAAAAAACTGCCGCTCTCCTGCTCTTCTCCTTTTCACTGTGTGAACTTTTATAAAGCTCTAATATCTATAGAATTACTCATTACTTTATTCTATATAAACAAATGAGCTTATTAATCACTATATAACACAAGACATATCTGACAAACATTCCTTACTGAGCTGAAAAATTAACAAACTGACTGTAATCATCCCCCAGCCTTATATAAACACTCCAGTATATGATGATGGTCAGCATATGATGGTCAGTTCTCACTCCTCTCGCTGCTTAAACTCAGTTAGACAGCAGAAAGTCTTAAATAACATTTATCAACCCTGGGGGCGGGGCTACCCAGACTGCTCTGTGCTTTTGTTTTGTTTTTACTGACCTGTAATTTTGTGTGAGGGTGTTAGCCTGACGGTGTTGTGTGCTGCGGTGAGGCTGTGCAGGGTTTCGCTTCGTTGTCGTGAGTTTGAATCTCGGCAGATTTGAGGAGTCAGAGAATCGAGGTCAGTCTGGACTTTATCAGCTGAAGCTCCTAACGACAGTCCTTCACCTGCCTAACCAGCCCTAACGAGCCAATTAAGGCCTGACGAGTTCAATGAGTTCTGAGACTTTACAAAGGGAGGGGTGTCCAGACTTTTGCACACGTTACAGTTACCGCTGATTTTTTTTCTCCCATTTTTAAGATCAAATATAAACTAACTGTTCATTAACATTTGCAGAAAAAGTGTGAATGTGTGTGGATTGTGTGTGTGTGTGTGTGTGTGTGTATATTGTAGGCGTTGTACATATACTGTGTGTGTATTTAGTGTGTATTGTGTGTGTACGTGTGTAGGTGTGTATATTTTGTGTGTATATTGTGTGCATATGTGTGTGTATGTGTATACTGTGTGTGTATTGTGTGCGTGTACTGTGTGTGTATACTGTGTGTGTGTGTATTGTGTGCGTGTACTGTGTGTGTATTTTGTGTGTGTGTGTATTGTGTGCGTGTACTGTGTGTGCATATGTGTGTGTATGTGTATACTGTGTGTGTATTGTGTGCGTGTACTGTGTGTGTATACTGTGTGTGTGTGTATTGTGTGCGTGTACTGTGTGTGTATTTTGTGTGTGTGTGTGTATTGTGTGCGTGTACTGTGTGTGTATACTGTGTGTGTGTGTATTGTGTGCGTGCACTGTGTGGGTGTATACTGTGTGTGTGTATTGTGTGCATGTACTGTGTGTGTATACTGTGTGTGTTTGTGTGTGTGTTTGTGTGTACTGTGTGTGTATACTGTGTGTGTGTGTGTGTGTGTTTGTGTGTATTGTGTGTGTGTATACTGTGTGTGTATTTGTAGTGTAATTGGCTCTGAAGTTGAGGACTCTATTGACCGGCTGAATCTCCTGATTGATCTGACGGCATTATGTGATTGGTGGGAGTGTGTGATGTGATTAGTGTTGATCAGGTCAGTGTGTGTGTGTGTGTGTGTGTGTGTGTGTGTGTGTGTGTGGTAATGGATGGAGTGTGTCTGAAGGTTGGTCCTAATGAATGCGTGCAGCGTCTAATTCCTCTCTAATGCATCTCAGACAAATTAAACACACTCATTTGTAAGACTCGGATAAGGAGAGCGGAGCTTTTATCTGATCTGTGTGTGACGCTGTTTTAGACTCTGCTCAACATAATCGCATTTCCCTCAAAACTCAGAGAAAGAGTGCAC